GGGGTGAAGAAGGGTCCAGAGACAATCCTCGTCAGCTGGTTATATCCCCTCCGTAGGCTCCTCCTCGAGGGCCGGTTCGCGTTGCTGGGGGTCGTCTTCAATGTCCGTTATCGTGCATAACAGAGGATTCAGACGTTGTACATTCATTGCATAACTCCAGACACCTCTTCTCCTCATACTCTCTTTCATGACTTTTTATTTAATGCATTATAACGGCTGTAAATAGACACTTTAGTAATACCAGAAGTGCTTTTCAGCAGTTCTCATTTACGGCAGTTCTCATTTACTGTAGTCCCGGAAGTCGTCATATCTACCTACTTCTGTCATCAAAACTTTATTAAAATAAAATGTACCTTCATTTAATATTCAGCAATTATAATATCTCGACTGGTGTAGTGTTAAGATCAGTAGGTTTTGGTGTGCAACACTCCGTGTCATTTTCACTTTACATTCACATTTCTAAAAAACGTAATATTAGCCACATGCTAAATGCTAACCGGAGATGAAAGATTTTCAGAATAAAAGCTTGGCATTGAGATTTTACGAGAACTTTAGTTTTTTTCAGAATAAGACAGCTTTTAAACTGACGGTATGTTTTAGACTAAATTATGCTATAAAACATTGATTTTAATTTCTAACAATCCCTCCTTTCACACCTTTTAAGGTGTGAACACAATACTGAAATCAATGAGTTCTTCATAAGACAGCTTTTAAACTGACGGTATGTTTTACACTAAATTATGCTATAAAACATTGATTTTAATTTCTAACAGTATTGTGAACGCAATGCTGCACAAATGTGGGTCTGCCTCACACAGAGTGACTGGCTGTCTACATGATGTGGGTCTGCCTCACACAGGGTGACTGGCTGTCTACATGATATGGCCTGCCGACATGGCCACTGTCACACAGATCATAAATCAAAGCCTTTGATTGGTCTCTGTGTGTCATTCAAGCTCGGGATAACTACAGCTCAGGTGAGGTAAAGGACTCTCTGAGTGTTTAGAAAGTTAACTTAGTCTAAGTTCTCAGTGGGTCTCAAACGGTTTGGTCACCATTTATATAAACACGTATTTCCATTTGAGGGGGTAGTGATTAGTAAAATATGCATGAATAAAAAATAAAAAAGTTAACTAGGTGAAAAAAGGTAAGATACACTTTTAAAACTTGTTGAGAGCTAAAACTAGTCTTTGCTGCTGCCTCAAAGAGGAGCAGGGGGGGAGAGGAGGGAGAGGAGGGAGACAGGAGAGGCTGATTCAGGAGCCCAGACACACTCACAACTATAAATTAACCAAAAAAAATAAAGTAAACAAGTTTCAATGTTTTTTCATATTGGATATGGTATGTTATTGGTTATGGCCATGTTCTTATGATTTTATGATTATTGAAATGTATACAGTTCTGTTTCATATAGGTGTTCCCATAGATCTAGTCTCTTTATTTTCCCCTGAAAGTGCACCAGATTGATGCATTTAACTCCAAACATTTAAAAAAAATCTTACCGGGGGAGCATGCCCCCGGACCCCCCTAGATGATTTGAGGTCCACCCCCACTTAAAATCACATGGACAGGTTCCTAAATACATTTACCATTTTTTTTAAATAGTAACCCATGTCCATATGTTTAATTGTGGGTAGTAGATTTAAACTATAGGGCTATCACTATGGGCCCTGCCTGTACCTGTCCGCTCTGCCATCGCGTGAAGGGTCTGCTAACAAGCGACCAACAGAAAGGTTAATGTTAATGTTGATGTTGTTGCACGTTACAAAGGCACGTCACCTCAACCCCCACCCACCCCAAGTATATTTCAGATCTGTGGGAAACACTGCGTCTATTACTGTAGGGTGTCAGAAAACCAGTCAGTTTCTGGTGTGACCACCATTTGCCTCACGCAGTGCAACACATCTCCTTTGCATAGAGTTGATCAGCTTGTGGATTGTGGAATGTTGGTCCGCTCCTCTTCAATGGCTGACACTGACAGCATGTTGATGGAATATCTTGGCAAGGAGTGCTCACTGACACAGATTTAGACACATTTGTAAACAATATTTGAGATAAATATGCCTTTTGTGTTCATAGAAAAAGTCTGATTGAAAAAGATCTTTAATTATGCTCCAAATATCTGGAACATGCAGGTCCTCTTACTTCTTTTAAATCCAGACTGAAGACTTTTATTTTTGCCGCTGCTTTCAATTGAACTATTCATATCTCACACTGCACTGTAACTTTTATTCATGTACCTAAAATGCCATTTTATAATATGTTTCCGCTGCACTATTTCTTAACGCTCTTAATACTAAAAGCACATTTACAGTATTATTTGAATCCCATAAATACATGTGATTGGCAAGAGTGTTTAAACATTTGTCAGAGTTTTTATCTGTGAGCAAATTAGGTGATTAAATAGTAATATTGTAAAATCTAAAGATTAAAGCTTTGATTAACCACTTTTTCAGAACCAGCTCCAATTATAATACAAGATAAACATGAAAGCAAACAGTAATAAATGCCACCATATTAAATAGTAAATATAATATTGTGATTATACAAGTGTGAGGATTATTAAAGCGATAAACAATCAATGATGTGTAACACAAAATATATATTTCAAAAACAATGCAACAGGCTTACATGGTTTACTGCATGAGAAAAGTTAAAGGTCTTTTCAAAGTAAAGAATAAGTTGTATAAATAAACATGAATTGTATGTGCATTCACTTGAATGTGTAAGAAATACTTGTAAATAATCTTACATTTCGAGATTTCTAAAGCAGAAACAAACAAAACACACTGACTCTCCATCAGAGCAGGAGCACAGACCTAAGCCTCTTTTGAGTGTGTTTGCAGAGTACAAATGAACCTCTGTTTCATACAGATTCAATAAAAACTATTACTGTGTTTTACCTTAAATCTATTAACAAACATATACTCTCAACATATATCTAGTTGTAATAAGATTACAAAGTATTTTAAAGTATTTAGGAAGACATTTAGAGAGGAAAGTCACAGATTAGCAACTCACACGGCAGTAGTTTGGGAAGGTTCAGAGTCTTCCCAGTAATAATATACAAATATATTGAGGTTTATTTCACTTTTGCATGAAGATAAACTCGTTCGCTATCGTTTAGGGTGAATTTTACACTATATTGTTTCCTCCAGATGTGATTTTATTACATGTGTTCGTGAAGAGAAAACACAAAGTGGCACAGTATGCCTGCTGCTCCTGTGAGACAGGCTGCGATTGAGTCTCTACGGTTCTCATGGTGTGTTTAAGTTCCGCTCTTTGCTGGGATTTCTCTCTCAGTCTCACCGAGTCCAGTGAATCCACTTTGAAAGCAACATGGCAGAATCCGCTCCCGCCGCCGCCGCTCCGGCCAAGGCCCCGAAGAAGACAGCCACCAAGCCGAAGAAGGCGGGCCCCAGCGCCGCTGATCTCGTGCTGAAAGCCGTCACCGCCTCCAAGGAGCGTAAAGGGATTTCCTATGTCGCCCTGAAGAAGGAGCTGGCCGTTAAAGGCATCGACAACGCCAACCAGGTGAAACGCGCCGTGAAGAAGTTGGTGGAGAATGGAGCCCTGGTGCAGGTCAAGGGAACCGGAGCCAGCGGCTCCTTCAAGGCAGCCAAGGCCGCCGAGAAGCCCAAGAAGGTAGCGAAGAAGCCCGCGGCCATAGCCAAGAAGCCGGCAGCAGCACCAGCGAAGAAACCCGCCGCTAAGAAGCCAGCCGCCAAGAAGGCAGTGACACCCAAGAAGGCGAAGAAGCCTGCTACTGCTGCTAAGAAAACCTCCGTGAAGAAGATCACAAAGAGCCCGAAGAAGGTGGTGGCCAAGAAGGCAGCACCCAAGAAGGCAGCGACCCCCAAGAAGGCAGCGACCCCCAAGAAGGCAGCGACCCCCAAGAAGGCAGCAACCCCCAAGAAAGCTGTGAAGAAGGTGGTTAAACCAGCTGCCAAACCAGCGAAGAAGGCACCAGCCAGGAAAGCATCGAGGAAGTAAACGGATAATCTACTTCATCTCCAAAAGGCTCTTTTAAGAGCCACCCACATACACCAAAAGAGCACTCTCCTTTATAATATTATAATTTTGCATAAATACAACTCTATGAAGAAAACATTCTTCACATATTTGGTGTATTGAACTTCACATGATTGAAGGAAACGACATACTGCTCCCATGTGTTATTGAACATGTTCCATGATCTCATACCGCATGGTATTTACCACAACAGCAAATATTCGTACCCAAATATCACTTGCATCTAAAATAATAATCACATAACTGAAGCATATCTAAAGTACCCTACCTTGATAAAAGTTTGCTTTACTTTATAAACACTTTCTATATTGTGCAATAGCATACAATACTAAAGTGTTTTATAGAAAATATATTATAATTATTATACATTAGACATTTACATAGTTATAATACACAAGCACTTTGAATTGACCATGGTGTTTTTATACTGGCCAATCACTAGCTACAAAATATGGTCATTTTTAAATCTTATAAATGTGAGTATGGCCAGTAGAAAAGCAGAACCAATATCAATGTGTTATTGTAGGGATTCATTTCATACAATTAATACATAATAAATTAAATATTATCTTTTTAATACAAATGTATTTTTATTAAAATAAAGTCAATAGATAATAGATAATCGATGTGTATATTTATAACTATCATTTAGTCAAGCAGAAAATAGTAAAGCCATAAACAGTATTTAAAGAATATAATTTATAAATTATGACAGATGTTATTCATAATTTAGTAATCGAGTGTTTAATCCTAATTATATAGTTTGTATTGAATGTAAAGAAAAAACATTGTTTATTTTTATGACTTAAATTATTTGACTCTTGTACTTTGAAAAAAATATTTTTTTTTTCTTCTGCATCACGTGATAACATTGGACCAATCAGTGTCGTTGCGGCCCCAGCTCACACTATATAAAGGCGACAGAGACCAGTTGATATCATTGTAACTTTTCCAACAGAGAAGCAGACTCTCGCTAGCCATGGCAAGAACCAAGCAGACCGCCCGTAAATCCACCGGAGGAAAGGCTCCCAGGAAGCAGCTGGCCACCAAGGCTGCCCGTAAGAGCGCCCCGGCCACCGGCGGCGTGAAGAAGCCTCACCGTTACAGGCCCGGTACCGTGGCTCTGAGGGAGATCCGCCGCTACCAGAAGTCCACCGAGCTGCTGATCCGCAAGCTGCCCTTCCAGCGCCTGGTGAGGGAGATCGCTCAGGACTTCAAGACCGACCTGCGCTTCCAGAGCTCCGCCGTCATGGCTCTGCAGGAGTCCAGCGAGGCCTACCTGGTCGGCCTGTTCGAGGACACCAACCTGTGCGCCATCCACGCCAAGAGGGTCACCATCATGCCCAAGGACATCCAGCTGGCCCGCCGCATCCGCGGAGAGAGGGCTTAAACTGACCTGAGACCAGAACACTGAAACACAAAGGCTCTTTTAAGAGCCACACACACACACTTACAGAGCAACACGTCCTAAAACACATGTGTTATATTACTTTATAAACAATTTGTACCCCTTTGATTATTAAGGCAGGGTCCATAGTAACACATTATGATAACATAGTTTATAAACGCCTACAATGTTGATCCATTTGCAACTACCACTGGGTTGTAATGTAGGGTCTCATTTATTGCTAGACACTGACATCTAGTGGTTTGTTGAGATAAAGCCCATACAGGCAACTAATTTAATGATTTTGGTCTGTAAACATATCGAGTGGACACACTAGTATTCGATAATGGTGTATACATCGATTGCTGAGTGGACACTGCTGCACTTTCAGTGTGTCATTTCATAAGACACTTTCATCTAACTATGTGGGCTGTCTTAAAAATACAGTTTAGTTTAAACAATATTACTTAAGATGTTACTATTTACATGGTTATCTAATCTTGAAATAGTGCTGTATAATAGTTTGTGCCATGTTTGTTTTAGAGCTACTAAACTAACTCCTAACGGTATAATATACAACGGTCACATTAAAGAACTGCTAATCGGCTAAGAGATAATAACTTCATTAATATCTAGATGTACCTAATTTCTTAAAATGCTAATACAAAATAAATAAAGAACTGTTAGAAAGACACACGTGTTAATATGTAATTCACTACAATAGAGCCACTATTTTCGTTCTGCTCCAAACATTTGTTGGTGAACTCTGACATCTGTTGGATAAAGGCTGCTACTAAATATATCCTGTTGTGTATTCACTTCAATGTGCGTGAGGGCAAAAGATACCATCGAGTGCTTAAATGTTACGGTACGCTATTGATCGGTGAACTGCAGACACCTGCCAATAAGTAGCTACTGATATAGTGTCGTGTAAACTGAGTTAAACATTAATGATGGGTCCAACAAACGTTGTGGCTTTATGCATGTGGACTGACAGATGTAAAAACCAAACCGCTATTCATTTGAGAATGTGGTGATTAACCTGCTGGATGTACGAAGGACATTGTGAAGAGTTTGCTTTAGTTTAAATAAGAGGCTACAACCCGAAATACAGATTAAATCATTAATAGTAATTTAGGGTTATATTGAAAGTGTATTGCTCTATAATGTGGGCGTTTTTAGTTGAGTGACTTGGTGTAATATGACATGTTGTATATGTTGTGCACCTCAATACATATAGGGCAAGATCACTGTTCTGGGCCTTTAAGTAGTTGTGTATTGAAAAGGGAAATGTTCTTTAGTTGAAAGTGGGTGGCTCTTAAAAGAGCCTTTGGGGTGCTCGTTGAAGCGGGTTCAGAGTGTTCACTTCTTGGCAGCCTTCTCGGTCTTCTTGGGCAGCAGCACAGCCTGGATGTTGGGCAGCACGCCTCCCTGAGCGATGGTCACTCCTCCCAGCAGCTTGTTCAGCTCCTCGTCGTTGCGGACGGCGAGCTGCAGGTGGCGGGGGATGATACGGGTCTTCTTGTTGTCCCGGGCGGCGTTTCCAGCCAGCTCCAGGATCTCAGCGGTCAGGTACTCCAGCACAGCGGCCAGGTACACCGGGGCTCCGGCACCGACGCGATGAGCATAGTTACCCTTCCTCAGATGCCGGTGAACACGGCCGACGGGGAACTGGAGCCCGGCCCGGGAGGAGCGAGTCTTGGCCTTCGCTCTGGCCTTTCCTCCGGTCTTGCCTCTTCCTGACATGTTGAGTTAGTTTTTGATCGAGCTACAAAAAAGAGGATACAGCAACGTCACCAAAGCGGGGTTTATATATGTCCTTGCCGCTCTCTGATTGGCTACAAGTGAGCGTATCTTCGATCGACCAATCAGAAAAGAGTCAAGTTCCTGGTTTTACTAGGATTTCCGTTGAAAACTGCTACTTCAAAATAACGTGAAAGACTCAATCAGAATCCCTTTATTATTCGCCCCACGTAGGGAAACCTTACGTTATTACAGCAAAACCACCAGACTCAGGGACAGTTGCATTCCACAGGCCATAAGACTATTAAACACCATCACTTTTTAAAGAACATCCATAAACATTCATCTGTTTGCATCTTGCAAATTATTTATCTAATATATCATATTCCATTTACCTATATGGACTCTTTCATTATTTCAATGTTATTTGAATTTACCTGCACATCTCAAAACATTGTCTTGCACTATTTAATCAGTTGTATGTATATATTCATGTTGCTCTGTTTGAGGAGCCTGGGACTTCAGTTTTTCACTGGCATATCTACACTGTAGCTGCTGACCACATGAAAATAAAGACTAAACCAATCGTTATTGTGATATAATCATGTATATATACGACGAATACATAGTATATTTCACACACTGACCATCATTGTATGTTGACACATTACTATTCTGTAATTTCACATTCCATTTTTGTATCCAGTGGTTAAAAAATAACCATACATAATTAGCCATATTTAGAGAACAATAACCAATTTCTTACCAAATAAAGCTTTAACAATAAACACTGTAAACATACACAATGGAGCACATCTACAGAAACTAGACACAACTAGAAAACTTCTCCCACACGGACAACTGCACAGGATACACAGGTCCCACTCTCACAGGAGAAGGACGTTTGTGTTCGATCAAACTACTAAAAACATTCAATTATGTCTGAACGAGGCTATGGAGGAATCCGTCTTGTACGACACAATCTGTGCTAATCTAGAATGAGTGGAAGAGGGACGGATAGAGATATATAAATAGATTGGAATGGACTTCCAAATAAAATGATTTGACATTACATTTGTTAGATGCTTTTATCCAAAGCGACTTACATACATTCAGTACTGTGGGCAATCCCCACAGGAGCAATTTGGGGTGAAGTTTCTCAGGGACACAACAAAATGCTGATTGCAGTGGGACTCGAAGTTGCTACCCCCTGACTCGAAGTTCAGCGCACCAACCCCTGAGCCACAGCCTCCCATCTTGAAAATAATTAAGGATTTTTAATATGGTAGCTATATTACATAGACCTATCATTTAATGGAAGTACCATCACTTCTCAATAACTCAATGATAACTGAGAAAACTAATTGATATCTGTCGATCAGTGAATCCTTTTGGGACGGGGTTCACGGAATATGACTCAAAATGTAAAACACGTATTGACAGAATGTATGTTGCTCATCACTTCTCAATAAGTCATTATTCTACGGTCTTCAATAACTACTCTGATCATCTTTTAGTTAAATCATCTCTATCCTCTGGGGACCTTCCAGAGGCTTCTGGAAACTTAACAAGCAGTGTTTAAAAGATACACATTTATGAACCAAGCTAAATCTGAAGATAAAAGAAACAATAGCTTTTATAAATAGACTGGAATGGACTTCCAAATAAAACTATTTTAAATATTGTGGATATATTACATATATAAAGACCTATCATTTAATGACTGTACCAACGTTTTAAAATGTAAAGTCAGCAGCTGTCAGAGAGCCTGAGCGATGTGATGAGCTGTTACGTGAAAACTAAAAAATGCCCTATGATTAACTGTGAGGAGGATGAGACCCTGCAGCACCTCCTCATGGAGGCTACAGAGCGCAGGAGGTCTGGTCGGTCCTGCCAGTTCTCGGTCTAGATTTCAATATTAACTACAGATCAATTATGTATTATATATTCAAGGAAAAGATGGACATAAAAAAAAAAACGTTTCCAACTTGTCATCTGCATCACATGTATGCAGATCTGGAAGACCAGATGCACCATGGTAATAAACCAAACAATAATTAACAGTAGTACCATAATAAAACGTCTGAGATTGAACAAAGGCTGATCAGACAATACACTCTCTGGACTCTAAAATACTACGTTCTTTTGGATTTATGTTATTCATTTATCTATTATGTGTATTTGTAATGTAGTCTTTGTTTATGTCAATTATGTTTTGTTCAAATCATTTTAAATAAAGTATTCAAAAAAAAGCAACGGAGGTGCTTTCAAGTGAAGACATTGGGATTTAAAGAAGAGTGCATGTGTGGATAATATCTTGTATAATAGAGGAAAATAATTGACCATGTTTTGTAGTTAGTGATTTTGTGGAATGTATTACTTAGAATGATTGAAAACACCAGAACTTAAAGTGTTTGAGTTTATCAACCAATTTCATGGGAATGTTCCAAATTAAAATGTTTTATTTAAACACTTTTCTTTGTTGTTACATGTTGCTGCATAATGTGTGGCTACCTTAGATAATATTGGTGAGGTAAATAACATGTGGTATGAAGACCTTCAATAACACATGGGAGCAGTATATGTTGTTTCATGTAATTATGCATTTTTACACACACATTTTTTTTTCATAAAATCATATTAAAACAAAATTCAATATTTAAACAGGACAAGTGCTCTTTTGGTGTATGTGGGTGGCTCTTAAAAGAGCCTTTTGGAGATGAAGTAGATGATCAGTTTACTTCCTCGATGCTTTCCTGGCTGGTGCCTTCTTCACTGCTTTGGCAACTGGTTTAACCACCTTCTTCACAGCTTTCTTGGGGGTCGCTGCCTTCTTGGGGGTCGCTGCCTTCTTGGGGGGTGCTGCCTTCTTGGGTGCTGCCTTCTTTGCCACCACCTTCTTCGGGCTCTTTGTGATCTTCTTCACGGAGGTTTTCTTAGCAGCAGTAGCAGGCTTCTTCGCCTTCTTGGGTGTTACTGCCTTCTTGGCTGCTGGCTTCTTAGCGGCGGGTTTCTTCGCTGGTGCTGCTGCCGGCTTCTTGGCTTTGGCTGCGGGCTTCTTCGCTACCTTCTTGGGCTTCTCGGCGGCCTTGGCTGCCTTGAAGGAGCCGCTGGCTCCGGTTCCCTTGACCTGCACCAGGGCTCCATTCTCCACCAACTTCTTCACGGCGCGTTTCACCTGGTTGGCGTTGTCGATGCCTTTAACGGCCAGCTCCTTCTTCAGGGCGACATAGGAAATCCCTTTACGCTCCTTGGAGGCGGTGACGGCTTTCAGCACGAGATCAGCGGCGCTGGGGCCCGCCTTCTTCGGCTTGGTGGCTGTCTTCTTCGGGGCCTTGGCCGGAGCGGCGGCGGCGGCGGCGGCGGGAGCGGATTCTGCCATGTTGCTTTCAAAGTGGATTCTCTGGACTCGGTGAGACTGAGAGAGAAATCCCAGCAAAGAGCGGAACTTAAACACACCATGAGAACCGTAGAGACTCAATCGCAGCCTGTCTCACAGGAGCAGCAGGCATACTGTGCCACTTTGTGTTTTCTCTTCACGAACACATGTAATACAATCACATTTGGAGGAAACAATATAGTGTAAAATTCACCCTAAACGATAGCGAACGAGTTAATCTTCATGTAAAAGTTAAATGAACCTCAATATAGTGTTATTATATTAATGGGAAGCCTTTCTACCTCCCTCAAATGCTGCCGTGTGAGTCGTAAATCTGTGACTTTACTCTCCAATTTCCCTCTTAAATGATTTTAAATACTTTTAAATTCGACTTAAACTAGTTATGTACATAAATAAGATGTTTGGTTAAAGACCTAACCTAAAAAAAGTTTACGAATAGAAATATTTTAATGTTAAACAGAGGGTCGTTTTGTCTCTGCAAACACACTCAAAAGAGTCGTGGGATTGTACTCCGCGCCGATGGAGAGTCGGTATGTTTTCTTTTACAGTTCACTAATGTAAGATAATTGAAAGCTGTATATCACTAATAAAAGTGAATACACTCAAAATAAAAATAAAATTTATAATTCTTTCTTCACTTTGATAACATATATTGTTTTCTTCTTCAGAAAACTGAGTTACCTGCCCTTTACATGCTGGAGTGATTTACAGTATGCCAGTACATTTCTTTTTCCGATAAAACGTAAATTATATAAAGTGTATTCCTCTATAATACAACATGTATTCATACATTTTGCGTCTTATAATTGTGTCTGTCTAACACACCAGTAACACATTTAAAAAAAATCAAACAATTGGAGAATTTAAATCTGGGGCTATTTTTGAGAAACTTGATTACTTTAAAGTTGTCTTTTACACTAATTAATTACTATTAAAATGAAATCCTTAAATCTGCTCCAAGACACATTTAATAAACGTTAGAAGATTTGAGACTTTCAATTCAAATTCAAAGGTGTTATTGTCATATGCACAAAAGCTACAGTGTAGAAATGGCAATGCAATTCTTATGACCCGAGCTCCTCCAACGATGCAACATATATAATAAAATATTAAAGTACAAATACAAAAATAGTGCAAGAAGTATATATACGGTACCAGTTAAAAGATTGGACACACCTTCTCATCCTATGGTTTTTATTTATTTAAAAAAAAAATTACTTTGTAGATTAATACTGAAGACATCAAAACAATGAAAGAACACATATGGAATGATCTAGTTAACAAAAAAGTGTTAAAAAATATTATTATTATTATTATATTTTAGATTCTTCAGAGTAGCCCCCTTTTGCCTTGATGACAGCTTTGCACACTCTTGGCTTCTCTCAGTCAGCTTCATGAGGTCGTCACCTGGAATGGTTTTCAATGAACACGTGTGCCTTGTCAAGAGTCCATTTGGGCATACTCTTAAATGAAAGCAATATCTTCTGACTGTTTATCACATATATTCTCAGGGTCACAATGAATGATCAGCAGTTTCACCACAATACATTGTTTTTATTCAGAAATGTTAACAAAATAACATTAGAAATAAGAGAAATTGCAGGAAAATATGTTTCTATATTTAGTCGACACATTACCTGAACATATTTTAAACTTCATTTATGTATATTTTAGTTTTTTGCTAATAATTAAAAGTGCCTTTTAAATACTTCTTACATAAATCTTGTGAGGCACCAACTTGAACGAGCTTAATGCCTGAGTCCAAATAAATATCACTACAATAAACAATATTTAAATGTGACATTCTGTTTTTGTCCATCTTATTCTATTTACATCTATATCAACTGCTGCATCTACTTGGTCACTTACAACATTCTCTGCATTATTTTGCTTATTGTATTACTGTATGAATTATTATTCTTATTTATGTATACAGTTTACTTCATCTGCATTACTTGCGCATTGGTCTAGCATAAAAAAACACTATTTATTCTAATCGATTCTACTGTTTTGTTTTGCACTATTTTTATTTTATTTGTATATATTTTTTTATCAGTCTTATTGTTGTTTGTCCTATATAAATATGTTTCAATGTTGGAGGAGCCTGGGACTTAAGATTGTCATTGCCATGTCTAAACTGTAGTTACTGTGCATATGACAATAAAGCCTTTGAATGTTGAATCTACCGCCCCCACTGGTCCTTTTCCATACATGATTTACTCTGCTCTTTACAGCTATTTGCACTTATAGTTAAATGGTAACTGTATTTTGATGTCTAAGTTGTACCTGGTGCAATGAAACTAACTCATTGTAGTTTACAATTACATGTTATGAAGCATCTAAAAGACAAGATCTCATATATTCCTTATATATTTGATGTGATCTGTGGCATGATCTGATGAATTCCTTGTCCCTTTTAGTTTTTTTTTAGTTGGTTTATATCTACTTATCTAAGTTCAGAGATTGCTCTCTTTAAAATCAATTGTGCTTTTTTTCCCAGTGCTCCCAATTTGGGAATACATTTTAGATGCAGGTCTTCTCCTATTACAGTACATATGTAGTATGGATATGTACAAGAACAATTGCAACTGGAAGGTTACATTGTCAACGGCAGTGGCTCAGTCAGTAGGGGCTTGGACTGGGAGCCGTAGGGTCGCTGGTTCAAGTCCCCGACCAGACCTAAATATGGAGTGTGGACTTCTACTTGGAGAGGTCCCAGTTCACCTCCTGCCCTGCCGTGGTGCCCTTGAGCAAGGCACCAGACACCCCCCTTCCCCCCCACTCCCATTGCTCCCCGGGCGTTGTACAATAGCTGCCCACTGCTCCTAGTACTAGACTCCTTGTACTAGGATGGGTTAAAAGCAGAGGCCAAATTTCACTGTGTGTGCTGTGTGCTCTGCATGTGTGACCATTAAAGAGGGTTTCATCCCTCCCTATTCTTCTATTCTTCTATTCTTCTATTGAAAAATTATTGAGGGACAGAAAATCCCCCAAAAAGTATGCTACACAATAAAACCAGATGCAGTACAACATCCTGGTATTCTTTGCATTCTGCATTTAAAACACCATGTCATATTCTGCCATAATAAATAGTATGGTAGTACTGATGCACTTCTTTATCAAGTATTTAATCTCCCCTTTAAGGTTAAATGTTGTTCTCTTTTTGAGTTGCTATAAAAAGAGCACTTCTATTTCAGTTTTTTTTTTGTCTTCATTTGATTATTTTTACCCGTTAATTGTTCAGTAAGAAGAGGAAAAACATACAAAAATGTTATTTGAAAAAACTTTAATGACCAAAATTAAATAAAAACATTGACATAAAAGTTCACTATGGTCTATTTACATGTATTAGGTGTCTTTCCTTTATTTTGTGTCACACAAAATAATACCACATAAAAAAACCCTGATTTATCCTGTGGACATTTGAGTGTTTAATTTACTATTTTTTAAAGTTAAAATATCCTATATTTATTCCTGTCATTTAATAAATGTAAAACCCCTTCCCTTGTGATGGAGCTAACATTATGAGTCATGTTATTTTTCAAAAATGTTGGTAAAAAACGACTTGTTAAACAGGATAAGTGGCATACACCTTTTATGTTTGTATTCAATTTAGTTTGCAAAAATATAAAGAATATTTAAGCGATTTTATTGCATGACATTTCGATGATTCTTTGCAATTCTAATAATCAATTTGCGGTAAACTAAGATTGAACAGATATCTAGTGTTATTAATATTAATAATACAATGTAATAGATTATTCCAAGCCTTTGTGCAGGTGTTTGGTTCGGATTCCTTCACTTAAGTTATTTGTTTCTCTGATTTTCTACAATTAACAAAGTTATTAATAAAGTTATAATACTTTTCTGATGCAACCAGAGGGAGTTTGTGTCTGTATGAGAGCCTTTGTGTCCTTCATCTCTCTAACACGTTTAAGAATGTGATAATATATCATAATACTCATACTATATCAATATAGTTGTATTGTGATATACATGAGAAAAGCTGTGCTAAATTAAGGTCTCTCACTGTTGAGTAACAAAGACTGTATTTAGAACACAGCCAGGGCCTGTCCTGATGTGAGTGTGTTTGCAGACAGCAGAATTACCTCTGTTTAACAAAAAGGTGTTGACAAATTTGGACTTTTTACACATTGAGTCTTTAATCCAACATGTAATTTCACCATGTTACTAGTTTTAGTGGGATTATAATGTATTTTACATTCTTTAAGAGAGAGATTACAGAGAAAAGTCGCAGATCTGTACCACTCACGGCAGTAGTTTTAGGAGGTTTAATGCCTTCCCAATGAAAACACAACAATATTTAATGCTTTATTTCGCTTTTATATGAAGATAAAGTCATTCTCTATCAATTCGATTAACCTTTGAAATTTAACTCGTTCTCTAAATGTGTATTTTTTACAGTTTTAGCTGAAGAGAAAACACAAAGTGGCACAGTTTTTCTGCAGCTCCTGTGTGAGACACTGAGTTGAGTCTCTACGGTTCTCATGGTGTGTTTAAGTTCCTCTCTTCGCTGGGATTTCTCTATCCGTCTCATCAGACTAGCACCGAGAATCCTCCTGACAGCATCATGGCAACAGAAGAAGCTCCCACTGAAGTCGCCGTCGCCGCCGCCCCGGCAAAGGCACCGGCAAAGGCACCAGCAAAGGCACCAGCCAAGTCCCCGAAGAAGAAGGCAGCCAAGCCGGCCAAGAAGGTAGGTCCCGGAGCCGGAGAGCTCATCTTGAAGGCGGTCACCGCCTCCAAGGACCGTAAAGGGATCTCTTTCATCGCTCTGAAGAAGGCGCTGGCCGCTCAGGGCTACGAAAACACCGCTCACATTAAACGCGCCGTGAAGAGGTTACTCGAGAATGGAGCCCTGGTGCAGGTCAAGGGAACCGGTGCCAGCGGCTCCTTCAAGGCAGCCAAGGCCGCCGAGAAGCCCAAGAAGGTAGCGAAGAAGCCCGCAGCCAAAGCCAAGAAGCCGGCAGCAGCAGCAGCGAAGAAACCCGCCGCTAAGAAGCCAGCCGCCAAGAAGGCAGTGACACCCAAGAAGGCGAAGAAGCCTGCTACTGCTGCTAAGAAAACCCCCGTGAAGAAGATCACAAAGAGCCCGAAGAAGGTGGCGGCCAAGAAGGCAGCACCCAAGAAGGCAGCGACCCCCAAGAAGGCAGCAACCCCCAAGAAAGCTGTGAAGAAGGTGGTTAAACCAGCTGCCAAACCAGTGAAGAAGGCACCAGCCAGGAAAGCATCGAGGAAGTAAACGGATGATCTACTTCATCTCCAAAAGGCTCTTTTAAGAGCCACCCACATACACCAAAAGAGCACTTTTCCTGTTTTAATATTATAATTTTACACTAATATACATACTTACATACTACATGTGTAACACTAGAGCACATTGTGTTTATCTAGTTTATTAGAACTGAATTAACTACTATAAATATGACTTGTTACCTGGAATGCCACATCATTCAGATTGTACTCTTTCCTTTTACAATACATGTTATTAGGTTGCTATATTGGCTACTACTACTTCACCTACTCCTTTGAAAGCCACCTAAACATACCAAAAGACAACTTTCCCCATATACTTAATAGTGTACGAATGCAACTCAAGATTCTAAAATATTATCCCTTACATGCATTGTTTAAAAGTACATAATAACATATTGTATTATATTGTGTCTGTACTACTTATTGATTTACGGAGCTCCTTCTCCAACAGACTGCTCCAGCTCCCCTGTCACAAGGACATAAGAACAGCAGTAACCCGTTACAGAAGGCTCCCTCTCAGCTAACTCGCACATCTGTACTTTATATACTATCCTATGCATATATGTCAACTATATGTAAACATTTTAATCCATCCACTACATTCAAATTTTTGAATCATTTGTCATTATGTATTTTCTACGGTAGATATATTTATATTTGCTTAATTATTTCTATACTTTATTCCAACTCTTTGATTGTTTGATGCCTGAACACACTGATGCTGCTGTAACACAATAAGTCCATACTTTATTGCCATGATATGTTATCACAATTCAAATTCAACTTCAATCCATCTAAAAAAAATAATGATAAGGTTACTGAAACAATATCATATAACACCCACAAGTATATGATATATAGAGAGTAAAATAAACAAATGTACTTTGTAGAATAAGAATCATATTATAGTATAGCACGTTACTTTTGTGTACTTTTTATAATTAAAGTATAATACCATTTTATTATAATACATGTGGTACTCTGGATCGAAATTCATTCAATTCTTCATATAATTGTGACTTCATATTGTTACAAATGAATGCAAATTACATTTCCGAGTTCAGATTAGCTTCTGGTTTTGATTGTACGCCGTGTCTGAGGGCACCAAGGCCGTGACCAAGTACACCAGCTCCAAGTAACCTGCTGCTGCTGCCGCTGCTGAGAGAACCCAACGGCTCTTTTAAGAGCCACCCACTTCATCGACTGCTGCTATCCTTAGAGCTAATCCCATGTCTAATGTGCACTCAACCGTCATGTTTAGATGCTCCTATTCTCGGCGACAAAAACAACCCTTGATTGGTATTGAATTAATATATATTATAGTAATATATTGAACACAACACAAATTTTTGGATTAGTCCTGTCTTCAATAATAGTCTAATGAACCATTAACCGGAATTAAACTGCTTAAGCTGTTAGGAGCAAATATATATGAACATTATATTTATATGTTTGTTATAAGATCTACAAATGTAAAGTAATATAGGAGACAATACAACAAAAGAAAACCGACACAATGATTAGTAACAGTACATGTAAACCATGTACACAATTTGTATGTATTTAAGTTAAGATTTTAAAATACATTTTGTAGTTTCCTTTCATTTCAAATGTTTGAAGTAAGCTTGGGGGACCCGATTCAGAGAATCAACAAACTGAGATACTGAACAGTAGAGGGTGGCATGTGTGAATAACTATTTCGTAAGTACATACTAGTGCCATCAAAGTAGATTATTATATATATATATATATATATATATATATATATATATATTTTGACTTATTTATATGTACAGCATTTGCTTCACAAATAAAGTTGTGTTGTTTATAAAAAAAATTAAAATATTCCTCATTTAACTTCATAAGATATTACACAGAAAATATGCCAACGTTTAATGTATATATATTTAATAGAAGAGCTGCAATCAATGATTAAAAGTATAAGTAAACCCAAATCTCCATCAGCATGAAATGAAACTCATGTATAAACACTTTAATAGAACATTATAATGTTTAACAGGTTCTCTAGAAAGTGAGTGAATCATGCTTTACAATATGATTACCCCCATGTAATGTACTGGCATGAAACCACCGTCATCATTATTGATGTTCATATACCTCAGGATGAATAACAACTGTATATAATATGTTTACAGACAGACAGCATACAGGTCAGATGGAAATCAGTAGTTGTTTGCGTGTGCTATATTTTAACAAAATGAGACTCCGCAATCTGATGTATACACAGTAACGGTAATGTTCAAACAATTACCATTACATATATAAATAGGTATATTTCAGGACTTGTTGCTCTTAGTGTGTGTGTGTGTGGCTCTTAAAAGAGCCGTTGTGTTTCAGTGTTCTGGTCTCAGGTCAGTTTAAGCCCTCTCTCCGCGGATACGGCGGGCCAGCTGGATGTCCTTGGGCATGATGGTGACCCTCTTGGCGTGGATGGCGCACAGGTTGGTGTCCTCGAACAGGCCGACCAGGTAGGCCTCGCTGGACTCCTGCAGAGCCATGACTGCGGAGCTCTGGAAGCGCAGGTCGGTCTTGAAGTCCTGAGCGATCTCCCTCACCAGGCGCTGGAAGGGCAGCTTGCGGATCAGCAGCTCGGTGGACTTCTGGTAGCGGCGGATCTCCCTCAGAGCCACGGTACCGGGCCTGTAACGGTGAGGCTTCTTCACACCGCCGGTGGCCGGGGCGCTCTTACGGGCAGCCTTGGTGGCCAGCTGCTTCCTGGGAGCCTTTCCTCCGGTGGATTTACGGGCGGTCTGCTTGGTTCTGGCCATGGCTAGCGAGAGTCTGCTTGTCTGTTGGAAAAGTAGTGATGCCGTTGACTTGTCTGTGTGTTTTATATAGCAAGAGCAGGCGCGGCAACGACGCTGATTGGTCAAATGTATACACGTGACACTTCAGCTCAACTATTGGTTGGTAGAGATTGGAAAATTCAAATTTCGCGCTCATTTGGTAAACTGTTCTTATTATACATCCATGTGTGTGACATACAGCTTTTTTAACACTTTGTCTATGATACAAAAGTCCAGCAAAGATGAATGATGCAAAAATTATTCTATACATTCATAAACTCTGAATTCTGCATATTGTAATTCATACATATTTTGATGTAAATATTGCTATATTTCTAATGTTATTATAGCATTTAACAGTGTTTTAATATTATGTATGCGAATAAAACACCAAGACAAATTCTAAGTATGTGTTACTTGGCAACAAACCCGTTTATGGTTATGATTTCTGATTCTCTAATAACAAAATAATGTCTTTATATGAAGAAAATAAAGTATATGTTATAGAAAATAAAGTATATGTTATTTGAGTTTCCTACTATGGAGTTAGCTATTTATAAGCAAAGCGATGACCTGAATCGAATACACTTTCAGTCACAGCTGGTGTGAAATTTGAGTATTAATTTGATAACTTTTTTTGGCACTGAAAGACTACGAAATTACTTTAATGCATCTTGGAAATAAACATCAATGCAATACATGAACATCTTACATGGTCCTGATATTCACTGGTGACTGGCTTGCATCATTCACAATGGAAATATAGCATGGTGTAAATGCGTGGCTCAGGTATACAGAGAATTGTACTGAATGCTACTTGGGTGAAGTAGAATTCAGCAACATTAATACAGAAGACTTATTGAATAGAGGAAACTACGTGACATCCAGCAAAAGGGGTATATGGTGATATTAACTCAAATTGGATCAATATCAGTGTGTTCACTATATGTATGACAGTGGGACAGATGAGATTGGATTTTTTTTTTCCCCGAGAAAAATCTAAATAAATCTAAATCTTCAAATGTTAACATTTCTCTATCAGGGCTAAATGTGAATGCACATTAACGTTACACTGTTTGCACTTGTTGTGCTGTTTAATTCGTGTTTTTAAGTTAGCTCTCATTTAAGGACCACTTCACCGAAATTGGCACATTTTTTCAAATATTGTATGGGGGAATTATTTTACCTTAAGTAATAAAATAAGGTTTAATTCAAAGTAGGACGTTTCAAGTTTGTGATGTGATAATACAAATTAATCAGATACTTATTACTTAGTTATCACAAGGACAGAGGCTCTTAAAGTAAAGTGGGTGGCTCTTAAAAGAGCCTTTGTGTGTTTCAGTCAGCATGAGTTTATCCCCCGAAGCCGTACAGGGTGCGGCCCTGCCTCTTCAGAGCGTACACCACATCCATGGCTGTCACGGTCTTCCTCTTGGCGTGCTCGGTGTAGGTGACGGCATCACGGATCACGTTCTCAAGGAACACCTTCAGCACACCGCGGGTCTCCTCGTAGATCAGACCGGAGATACGCTTCACTCCGCCACGGCGAGCCAGACGGCGGATGGCGGGCTTGGTGATGCCCTGGATGTTATCACGGAGCACTTTACGGTGGCGCTTAGCGCCTCCTTTGCCGAGTCCCTTTCCGCCCTTGCCTCTTCCAGACATAATTTCAAGGTTGTGTTAAAACTGTGAATGAACTTACCTCAGAGATCGTGGCTATTTAAAGTCTACATGCGGACGTGGTTGAAGCCACATGCCCTCATTTTAGCCCGCCATTATTTCCTCATCTGAAGCCAGAGTTGTTAAGCCTAAGCATTTCCGGTTATGGTCCTTTTTTTAATCAAAATAAAAGCACACATTTTTCACTGGTTCACAGAATTGCGTTTTTATTTTGTTACTTTCATCACATTTTTCGACATGTGGTATATTATTTTTTCACATTTTGGAATTATTATACTATTACATTTGCGGACATATAATTCTACTTTTCAACTTACTTCTTTATTTTATTTTATTTTATTTTTCAAATCATTATATTTTTCGACATACTTTACTATGACGATTATGTTTTTTCAAATAATTTCGAAATACTATGTCTATTTTGTAATAAATTCGACATACTATAATCTTAAAAAGCATCGATTATCTTATGAGCATTCCATAAAATAACGTTTCTGATTACTTTTAACTCAATTGAAACTTACCGTAAATGTTACATTTTTTCAATGTCTATTTTATAACCATGGTTATGTGCCATAGTACTACGTTCTCCCATGCTTTTGCAGACCACGTATAAGACTTATCAGTCTGTGCTTTTAAATTTGGGTTTTATATTTTCTTGTGGTTTATATTGTTTTTACATCATGTGTGAGATTTGTTCAGTCTGTGGCTATAAGTATGGTTTTCTTGTCTCGTGTTTTTACATTAGTTTTTTGTCCTAATGGTTTTGTCTAAATGTATTTATGTTGCTTTTCATATATTTATTGATTTACATCATTTGGATAGGATAGTATGTTTGTGTGTCTCTCTCCAGTGGCGGTTCTAGACCAATTTGACTGGGGGGGGGGGGGGGCAGTTATTTTCAGAGAGGGGCACAGGACGAAATGCAGGACGAAAAAGAGGGGGGCGGCCCTGTAGGGAGATCATTTGGGCTTGGTCATTTTAAAAGTAGCTCCCAAGCTGAAAAAGTGTGGGCACCCCAGCTCTAAAGGGTTCGACTAGAATGATAAATAACGTTAGTCTGCAGTGCAATCTTTTGCCTTGTGGCACAGGTAATTGAATCTCCAGCACCTGACTGTGGAGCTTTGTTTGACCTGATGGTCAGCAGTGTTGCAGATAAAGCATGATATGGACTGACCTGGATAGATTATTCTCCCATTGTAAGGACCGAGAGATTTCGAGTTTTGGGAAATGTTGGATCTGACCATTACTGTTTTTGTACATTTTGATTTTATACTTTCTTACCCCATAACAGATCTTATCAGAATTTACCAATGACCCTAGTTATGTCAGTTTGACTCAAAATGTCCAGTGTTTCCATTTATGATCTGGGGACTTAAGAAGAGATATAAATGGAGGATAAACCCTCTTTATTTTGTCACAGATGTACATCTGTGACAAAATAAAGAGGGTTTATCCTATGTACTGTACATGCACACAGTATAGCACACACAGCCAAATGTGACCTCTTCATTTAACCCATCCTAGTACTAGGAGCAGTTGTCAGCTATTGTATACAGCGCCTGGGGAGCGATGGTGAAAAAATATATATCTATAGGTAAAACATATCTGCGGTAATGTGGTGACTACTTGATATATACATGATTACATGACAATAACGATTGGTTTAGTCTTCATCTTCACTTTTAAAGTTTCAAGGCTTTATTGTCATGTGCTCAGCAGCTGCAGTGTAGAGAGATGAAAAACTGAAGTCCCAGGCTCCTCAAACAGAGCAACATGAATAGGACATAAAACAAATAGAATATTGCAAGAGAATGTTTTGAGATGTGCAAGTAAATACAAATAAAATAGAAATAGTGCAAGAAGAGTCTATTTACAAGTAAATGGAATATTATATATTAGATAAATAATTTGCATGATGCAAACAGATGAATGTTTATGGATGTTCTTTAAAAAGTGATGGTGTTTAATAGTCTTATGGCCTGTGGAATGCAACTGTCCCTGAGTCTGGTGGTTTTGCTGTAACAATATCACTTTTCCCTTTGTTGGACGTTATTTTGAAGTAGCAGTATTCAACGGAAATGGTGTAGTAAAACCAGGAAATTGACTCTCTTCTGATTGGTCGATCGAAGATACGCTCACTTGTAGCCAATCAGAGAGCGGCAAGGAAATATATAGACCCCGCTTTGGTGACGTTGCGAAATTCTTTTTTTTCGTAGCTCGATCAAGAAACTAACACGACATGTCAGGAAGAGGCAAGACCGGAGGAAAGGCCAGAGCGAAGGCCAAGACTCGCTCATCCCGGGCCGGGCTCCAGTTCCCCGTTGGCCGTGTTCACAGGCATCTGAGGAAGGGTAACTACGCCCAGCGTGTCGGTGCCGGAGCCCCGGTGTACCTGGCCGCTGTGCTGGAGTACCTGACCGCTGAGATCCTGGAGCTCGCTGGAAACGCCGCCCGGGACAACAAGAAGACCCGGATCATCCCCCGCCACCTGCAGCTCGCCGTCCGCAACGACGAGGAGCTGAACAAGCTGCTGGGAGGAGTGACCATCGCTCAGGGAGGCGTGCTGCCCAACATCCAGGCTGTGCTGCTGCCCAAGAAGACTGAGAAGGCCGCCAAGAAGTGAACACCCTGAACCCGCTTCTACCAACACCACAAAGGCTCTTTTAAGAGCCACCCACTCCCAACTAAAATAGATTACTCCTTTACTTACTGTTGTTAACCCTTTTATTGTGCAGCAGGCTGAATACGTTTCACTAGTGATGGGCAAATGAAGCATCGAACCACTTGGACAATTGTTTCGAAAATGGGTTCATTTCTCGAAGCTAGTGACCTCCTGGTGAAGTGCAAGGTTGCAGTGGGTTTAACGTATCTTTGCCTTGAAACATATTTGATGCACACACACACACACACTAAGACTGAATATCATGTTCTATTTGCAATTTAAAGATTGATAATTGGGTTATTGAGAAGAGAGTGCTGGGAACATGTGGCATTGGTTGGGTGTGCTTGTGTAATAATGGAAGGGGGTGATAATGTGGGATGGGGAACACGCAAAGATCTTTATAGAGAACCGCAGTGACTCCTAAAACCCGGAAGTAAGCTGCGCATGGGTTCCTTCGACAAAAATGCAATACAATTTCTCCATAGGATTTTGGAAAATAGCTCGAAATAAGGTGTGTGGTTGAGACACATTTAAGAGACGGATCACGTTTTGTTCAGCCGGATAATCTCCACATGTCTACCCTACTTTTATAATTTTCGAATGATAAATCTAATCGATGGATTTAGGATCGATAGATTTATGATTCGAA